GTTTAAAATACTAGTGATTTAATATCAAACGTTTTTCTTTCGATACTAAGTATCAAAAGAAAATAATCGAAGAATACCTCTATTTACTTATTTGACTACTCCTAACGCTCTCCTACTCCTCTTAGCAATTAAGTAGAATATCATGACATAATGTTGTGAGAACCCAAACTTAAGTATTTACTACTGTCTTAAAGCAATGATGTAGTATATCATGATATAATGCCGTGAGAACCCGACCTTACATATTTACTACTCAATTCCTATTGAAAATATTTTTCTAAGAATTTGAAGAAACCTTTCAAGAGTACGTAGATAACTTGCAATAAAGGAAAACTCGTAGAAGACATTAAAAATTATTAATATCATAAGAAAAAAATCGAGTAATACCTATATTTACTTGTTTCCTAACTCCTTAAAGAAATGAAGTAGAATATTATGCCGAAATGTCGTGAGAACTGCTATTGGAAATATTTTTCTTCTAAGAATTTGGGGAAACCTTTCTTCTTGATTCTTGATTCTTCTTCTTCTTGAGTTAGTGCTATTACGCACTTTTACTCTATAATGGCTGGGGGGCTTATCTCTATCCCACACTAGGCTTTTACTAGGCTAAAAAAAAAAAACATTTCATTTATTTGTCTTTTAGTTGATGACGGGCCTTAAATCAGCATATCTTCCTGAGAGTCCAGAAGTGGACTTGAGGATTGTTAGGGCGGGGTTAATTAGCGTATCAATTTTAGTGAATAATTTTAGAGCTCTGTCTCTGATATATTTTTTCACTGAGTCAATCCTAAGATCTCTATGTATGTCTGTTGATTTAATATACCATGGAATTTTAAACAGTTTTCTTAAAGCCAGATTTTGAGCTATCTGTAATTGCTTTAAGGTAGTATTTGAGGCTTTGCTATATGTAACACATCCGTACAGTAGTGCAGGTCTAATTACTTGCGTATAAAGTAACTTTCTGTTTTTAAAGTTGAAGTGATAATTATTAAACAGCGGCTTTAATAAATGTAGAATCTTAGAGTAGCTATTCCGTTTGTATTTCAAATGTTTAAGCCAATTGAACCGTTTGTCAAAAGTGACCCCCAGATATTTTATGTTATCCTCCCACTATATCTCCGTGTCGCAAACACTCACTCTTGGAGGATGCTGTCTTCTTTTTCGAGTTATAAATATAGCCTTGGTTTTGTCATTATTAATTTTAATCTTCCATTTTTGGAAGTATTCCACCATAAGGTCTATATTTCCCTTTAAAGTGTTGAAAAGTGCATATAAGAAATTATTAGCCTTTGTATTGAATGGATACTTAGCGAGAATCTTACAATAATCAAATGAAATATATCGTTTGATAGATTAAGTATAAAACTACAAAAAATTCAACAGTCTGCATTGTAGTCTATTGAGATGTGTCATAGATACACACCCTCTTATCTTCAATTGCGTTTCAATTGAATCAATTTCAAACTATAAAATCATTTCTTATACACATAATAATATTATTATTTTCTTATACTTTATCAAAGCAAATGTTATTTTATACACGGTTAACCATATTATCAAGGTTTTTATTTGAGTTCTATTTTATGTATCAACTGTTAACTTAAAAGCAGATGGTTTATAATAATCCTTACTTGTATTCTATTGAAATTAATACAATTTTGTTACAAAACTGCTAAGAATGGAGTCTTTTACTTTCAACTTCTAGTTTTTTATATTTTCCTAAAATTCACATCTTCTGATGTCACTATCAATCCATACTCAAACTCAATTATTTTGATTTATGCGAACTGAATTGTGCGTCTTCCAAGAAATCTACATATAAAAAATTGCATTTCATTTCAAATGCACGGTTAGTGTTCTAGTTTCGGATTAAAAAAAATTACACCATTTCATTGGCATATATATGTTCCTGTGTCAATGCATTAAGTTGATGCATTTCTTATATTATTTGTAGTAAAAATGTAATAAGTACTTGCAAAAATATATGCGAATACTTAATGCCGCAGCTAATACTTTGGTTTTTGCAGTTTTCACTATATGTGCCTTTGTCCTCATTTTTATGGAGTTGTAAAAATAAGCCACTTGAGCAATACGTAAAAATTTCTCAATGAGATTTTCACTGCTGCACATATACCAGCTCAGTAGTCCTGACAGCGCAGTGCAAGGACACGTAGCCCAACATTCAAATAATATCAATAGTAAATATGTACATATATATTATTCACTATTTATTAAAAAAAAAAATTATTTTTGAATTCGACGTGAAAATGATGTCAACGCTCAAGTTTTAACGCAAATAATAAAGTACGTTGTATACAATTTACACTTACTCTCATAACACCAAAGGATATTCTACGTATTCTGTGTGCTTACCTTGATACGACACTTTCAGTTTTATGGCAGACATTTTTCAAAATCCTGCCGCAAAACAAACATGGCGAATCCATCAGATTCTTTTTATTGAATAAGTTTTGCTTCTTTCTAGATACCACAAAGCGGATTTTCTGCCAAGGATCCTTATGTTGAACTACAAGAAACGAGTTTCTTCTTCCTTCTCATTTTCCTAACATATTAGGTGTGGTAGAGAAGAAATTAAAATACTATAAATACTTTCTATTCCTTCGTATTTTTATATGTCAATGTATTTGCCTTTAAACTCATCACTACCAATAAATAGACAAATAAGTGTAAGTCCTTATAGAGAAAGGTTTATATGAGCATAAGAGTGTTATACATTTTATTAAGGTTATTAGAGTAACTTAAAAAAACAATCCAAGTAACTAATGTAAAGCACACGTCTTATGTAAATAATGTCGCGTCAAGGAAATCTCGTGAAAGACATCACGTGTAATACGATATATCGCTTAAGAGATGTCTTGTGAAAGGTGTCGAGATATGAAACATTTGGATTAAGAAACATCACGTGACGGATGTCCGGTAGAATATGTCACATAAAATTTATCACATGAGAATGTCGCGTGAGAGTATCGCATGATAGTGTCGCGTGATAGATGTTACATGAGAGTGTCGCGTGAAAGATGTCGCGTGAGAGACTTTGCGCGAAACATGTTACGTGAGCATGTCGTGTGAAAGATGTCGCGTGAAAGACGTTAAGTAGAAAACTTCATGAGAGAGTGTCGGATGAGAGACATCACGTGAAAAGTGTCACATGAAAACAGTTGCGTGAGAAATATGATGTGAAAGATTGCACATGAAGAATGTCGAGAGAGATGAGAGATGTTGCATGGGTTGGGGTTGGGTTGGGTTGGAGTGGCGGCCTTGTATCCCAAAAAGTCCACTTAAGCACAAATAATGGCTCATTGTGGTACCACAGGAGTTACGTTGATTTGTATATAGATTGTAATCAGTATGCATTTAACGCAGAAGAAAGATAACGACTCCCCTATTAGGTAAAGGAAAATCAACCTGACAGTTCTATGAACTTGGCTAGGTCCCTAACATTGCAGGATGACAACTCAATCAGGTCAGTTAGAAAAGGAGATCCAAGGGTTTTTAATCTTCTTCTGGCTAGGGAAGGACACTGACACATGAGATGGAGTACAGTCTCCTCCTCATCCTCAGAACCACAACCTCGACAAAAGTCATTAAAGGGGAGACCCAGTCTCATAGCGTGCCTTCCTATTACGCAGTGTCCCGTCAGCACAGATACCGTAGTGCTGAGCAGGTTCCATCTTAGTTGAAGTAGTTGACTAGTTATTTTCTTGTCTAAGTTCGGTCAAGTCAACCTAGAAATTTGACATTGAGGTTCGTCAGCCCCGTATTGCTTGACTATGCTCAGGTATTTTTGTATGATTGCCAGTTTAACTGTAGCAAGTGGAACGCCTATATCAGAGAGGTTAATGTTATGGAGAAGAGCACCTGCCTTGGCTAGGTCGTCTGCCCTACAATTTCCTGTGATATCACTGTGACCAGGAACCCAAATGAGTTTGACCCTAACAAACCTAGCTAGGTCAAACCTAGCTAGGAGATGTTGCATAAAAGATATCACTTAAAAGATGTCACTTGAAAGATGTCACTTAAAAGATATCACTTGAAAAATATCACTCGAAACATATCAATTGAAAGATGTCACTTGAGATATGTTACTCGAAAGATGTTTCTTCATAAATGTCACTTGAAAGAAGTCACGTAAAAGATGTCACGTGGAAGGTGTCACTTAAAAGAAGTGAAAGGTGTTACTTGAAAGAAGACATGAAATATCAGAAAATAGCAGAAAAATGTCACGTATATAGATGTCTGGTAAGCTATTACTAATGAAGAATGTAGTGAGAAAGTGTCTTATGAGAGGTATAGTCTAGTGTGACGTGAAGAATATCTCTGAGACATGTCACGTGGAAAATATAGCTTAAAAATGTCATGTGAAAGATATCAAGTGAAATATATCGCAGAAAAATGTTGCATGAAAAATATCACGTGAAGATGACAGAGAAAGATATCACAGAAAAATGTGACTTCAAAAATGATGTGCGTGAGATATTTGCTGAAGATAAATATTATCGCTATCAAGATGCTACATAAAAAATTTTCATACTTATTTACTGGTGTATTGTAAATCTACATTTTTAATCTGCACCGTTCACATTATAATTGGAGATTAATTGGAGATAATTGGAGATTTGACGTTTCTCTTGGTATGTTTTATTTCGTGTGCTTGATAAGTTTATGTAAATAAAACATTTAATTTGTACAAAACTTTGTACAAAAAAATTATAATATAAATTTTAAAATAGTTTAAGAACAAAAATTTAATAGATTTAATAAAAACATGCAGTTGACATTTTAAAATTTTCAATGTTGTTCTTTCGTATTAGTTTTGAAATATTAAAAAAGCATCAGTTTACCGAATAATTTAATTCAATCGAATAATTTGATTTATTAGTGTTGTTTGTATGCGCAACTAACTTAACTATTCAAATATAAAATGTCAAAGTTTTTTTAAATGATAACATTTTTAACAGCGTTTTTTTTCAAAAAAACTTTTCTTAAAAATCACAAATATTGTAAAAAAGCTTCTAAAAATGGGAAAAATATTCTGTAAGTAAATTTCTTTTTCTTTTTATTTTGATTTCATACGGGTATCACTATTTCTGGATGGATTGTTTAAAGTCACCGCCAAACACTTCAAACTTGAAATATTTTATACTTTTTATATATCGGGTAGCAGTGCTTATCAAACCAAATCAAGGAAGGCGTCTAATAAGACCCCCAAAACTCAAACCGCTGCTTCCGAATAATAAATAAAACGTATGAATAGAAAGAATACAAAAAACTACCAATCAATTCCATTCACAAATATTCGAATATCGTAAAAATACCGTACGATATTAAAACTTTTTGTAAAATAGACAATTTTATTGAAAGTAGTGGATCATATAGTTTATTGAATGAAATGCTTATTCTCATCCAAAATATTTGCTAGAAATTGTTCACTTGAGGTGTACAATTCAATAATTTTTTTAAATCAAATAATTTTTTAAAAATTCAATATAATCACATTGATAATTAATGAATGCACCCCGAACTAAAAGATTTATTGTGCGCCTATAGGCCCAATTAAAACAATTCTAGTCTATTTATAAATCTCGTAATTTCTGTGGGCTTAATTTTACCTATTTAATTTGGGACCAATATTCCGCTTCCAAAGTAGTCAAGTCTACGTCTTGTCGCCGCTAAGCAGTTGCATAGAACATGTTCTGATGTTTCCTTCTCTTCATAACAGAATGGATGACGTATTTGAATCTACATTGTTTTGTAAATAGTTCAGTGTACGGTCGTTTCTGTTAAGGCTAAGAATAGCGTTAACTTTGATATGTTCAGAATCAATAAATTTACTTGACTTTCGCATGCCTGTTTAAGCTCTCCAGTGTTCAAGTAAATTTTGTTTGTCCCGTTCTTATATTAAGTTATTTGTGAAGCTATTTGTAACCCTACATAAGGCTTCTGGACCAATGAAAGGAGTACATGCACCTTTTTTTGCTAGGAAGTCTGCTATTTCATTGCCCTCATGTCCTTCATGTCCCGGTATCCACATAAGAGTAAAATAGTTCCTCGATGCTAGAGTATAGAGAAGTTGAAAGCATTCCTAGACTAATTTTTAAATATTTTGCAAACTCTTCATTTCAGAGTGTTTGCTAAAGATTTAAAGATAAATATAATATTTAAATGGCAAAAAAACAAGATAAATAATTTATTTACTTTTTAAATATTTAGCCAGTACTTTCAGAAAGCCTTCCAAGACTGAGGCTGAGACAATTTCTGTTGGTGACGATGAAGTTGATCAGGGGGTTGAGCAATATATAGCGGTTGCAGTCGAAGAGGCTTCAGTAAGTGATACTTGTTCTAACCCTCTGGAGAGGTAATTTTAATTTAAAATTAAAAATAAGTATGCATTCACATCTCTGTACAATTTTCTTAGTATTATAAATGAGCAGTTTTTGTCAGATGTCGCAATAGAAAATATGGTTGACCAGTCTGTTGAGATAATTATTCCGATCGTTGAAGAGGAGTCAACAATTGAGAATAGTGAAGATTTAGTTGCACAGTCTATTGCTAAAACTTCTTCGGAGGCAACAAATACTTGTTCCAACTCTGGGGAGAGGTAATTTTACTTAAAAAAAAAAATAGATATGCGTTCACATCTCTACATTGATTTCTTAGTAATCTTAATAAGTATAGTGAAGTAACAGAAAATGATGTGGGTTCCAGTTTTAAGTTTGGTAGTAGAAAAAGAAAGGCTCACGGTCCGGTACTCGCATCAGAGGTTATAGAGAAGCTTAAAAAAATTCGAAGTCAAGATGTTGTACCTAATACTGTACCCGATACTGTACCTAATACTGTACCCGATACTCTACCTAATGCTGTACCTAATAATAAAAATGAGAAAAAATGTGAGTTCTAATATTGTGAATAGAAATTAAAAATGATGTTATTTTAATTATTTTATTTAACATCAAAAGGAAACTCAATTTGAAAGAGTGTGCAAAAATTTCAAAAAATTTGAAAATAGCTCCCACGAACACATCATCAAAAAGAAAAGGAGTTTTAAAAAAAAATATTAAATATTATTTTTTAACTATTCATTAATTTTATAAATTTATTTATTTTTTTGAATGATTATTTACCTAAATAAAAATTTAATATATAAATAAATATTTAATTTTTTTTTAAGTTTTACCAAGTAGTGTTTTATAACTTTAAGTGGTGATTTGATGGTTCATGGAATTGTAAAAATCTTCATGATGAAATTATTTCCATAATAAAATTAAATTCCTTTCTCAAAATGAGCTTAAGTCAAGTAAGTTAATATCAAATTTTTTTTCTTTTTATGTTTCGCTTTAGCAATCATAAAATAATATTAGCATAACTCTCTTAAATAATGATCTATGTAGAAGAAACAATAATGTTAAAATATGTAATGTCTCTATAAAAAGTATAATACTGAGGTTATAACATTTAAAAAATTTTAATAGGAATAGGAATGAACGGCGTACTAGTTCCCACCGGAGCGTAGCACTGCGACAATGGTTGATCTTTTGTGATGCAACAGACCCTAACCGAATAGAAGACATTCTGCCTCCCGAATGAAAGCCATAATGTCGGCCGTTGAGGACATCCTAATGTCAGAATGAGAGAGAAGTTCTCAACTCAGTGACCTCCTCCTGACCGAGATCAAGACTGGGCATTCATATAGAATGTGACTGAAAATCTTGTCTGCTTCTAAGTAGAGTCGACAATCTATCTCTTCGGACAGATCCATTTTGTTAATGTGATAACGCAGTCCATGGTAATCCGTTAAATATCCCAGCAGCAATCTCAACTCTGTTCTGCTGTAGAAGGAATGGTTACCTGCAATGTCGCACCAGTAGCGACTTCTCTCAGCTGAAAAACATTTATCTATCAGAGACCTAGTTGTACACCAACTTAATCCACAATGTATGATTTTAATTTGAATGATCAATTTTCAAGTGAGCCAATTGAATTTTCTAAGCCCAGCAACTATAGTCCAAAAATTATATATAAAATTTTAAAACCAACAAATATTTCCAAAGACCGCTACTGTTGATATGTATTTGGCGATAATCAATTCAGAATTATGGTTAGTTAAAGAAATTCAATTAATTATAGTAAAATCAAATTTTGTAATTTCAAGAAAGAACAGTACTGTTTATATTTTAATAGTTTTTTATATATTTTTAATCTGGCTGTAATTCCCTTCTTGTTAAATATTTAAACGTTTAATATTTTTTTTTTGAGTATAATATAGACGATGGAACAAAGAGAATGACGTACCACAATCCTGATGATGACTTTCAAGGCGAGTCGAAATATAGAGTATAATAAAAAAATATTAAACATTAAATTATTTAACAAAAAAGGACCTACAGTCGGATTAAAACTATATAAAAAACCATTTTAATAAACAGGTCAAAAAATAAATTTAAAATAATTTTATTATTTACATTTTAGATTTACAATTTCTACAAAATGATAAATTACATTTTATTATAAATATCAAATAAATATAAATAGTAAATTATGTACAATTTCTATTAATTAACAATTAATTAACACAACTCCAGAAAAATTTGCGACCATAAAGTACGATTTTGGGTCAGTTGGTTAAGATGCGCTGACTCCTAGTTTCAAATTTTGCAGAGCACGAGTTCTATTCCTGATAGTTGCAGTCTTAAAAAATTATTTATGAGTAAATAAATACAAGAATTATTTCCAAGACCACTGATTATGGGTTGGTTGGTTGCAGTGGCTGGCCATTAGATAACTTGCATGTACGTCAATTAGCGATTTTTCACCGTTTTGCTATTACATTCCTCGCAAGAATCCTATTGTATGAGAGTACAGACTAAATCCATTCCGCCGAATTCAGGTAATTTAATAGGTATTTCATCTTCACTGTTGAGCAGTCTGATAGACTATCAAAGCAGTAATACTTGGCAATACTTGAAACAGCTGTATGGTCAGTCAAATATTCAAAAGAATATAAAAAAGAAATTTTGTTGTTGTTGTTCATTACTTTTCGAAAACCTCTTTGTAAAATTTGTATAAAATTGTAAATAAACTGCTCAAAATATATTACTTTTGTTCCTTTAAATAAAAAGTTCTTTTTTGAAGAGTCAATACTTCTTTATCTTAATATATTCAATTCAAAATTTATTGAAAACCTAAATATTTATGAAGCTTTCAAATATTATTTAATACTTAAATCAATAACTAATACCAAGCAACCTAAATTCAAAGAGCAACCAATATTTAATTTGTAACTGCAAATGCAAACATAAACTATAAACACAAAAGGCAAATAAATATAGCATACATATGAGCAAGTTTTATATTATACTTTTAGTGCTATCACTGTGCTGATAGCCAAGAATCAAGTCAATCAAAAATATTTTTACGAACCACAGTTTATGGTTAAAAATTGGCAAAGAACTTTCATCAAATTTTTATGATGCTTCATGGAGACACACGGACAATGCCAAGAGTGCGATGCATCAAACTCCCGCTCGTGTTCCTAATACATTATGAAGAATGTGAAGTTGGGCTGTTTGCAAAATGACTGGAAATATGGCGAAAGGGAGTAAAAAGTGCAAAAATGCTGTACTCCAGCATTTTTTTACAATATGCAGACAAAATGGTACGTAGAAGAGACAGTAAAGTGTTTTAATTAAAAATACAAAACTATGAGATGAAAAACCGCAAAATATAAAGATAGAAAAAAATTTTTAAACTTTCTTCTTAACTATGAAAACAACTTTCAGTCAGCGAATTTTGTTGTGACAATAAATTAAGGCAAACGGTGTTGTTTAAATATCAAAATAGAAAAAAATAAAATTAATTAAGAAAAAAATTATAAAAATGTAATTCAGTTAAATTTCGTAAATGTACGACCAGTGACTTAAGGAAATGCAATGCAGCTTGTATGGTTTTGGTCACGTTTCATATTTTGACAAAGTCTGGCAAGTTCCGGAAATTTTTAATATAGAAAAAAAGTTTCAGAAAATAACATCAGCAACATGCAGCATGCAGCATCAACGACTTCGCCCAACAGACTATCTTAATAACTGAAAGTTTGTTGGAAATTTAGTAATTTATGGCAATAGTTAGTCGCCAAATAGTCACACTGCCAGCAATTTTTTGGTTTTGTAGGTAGGGAGCGGAAAGGATTTTGGCTCATAGAAGGTATTTGAAATGTGTTCATGTTTGTGTAAAAAATAAAAGTAAAAGTGCTACTTATCAACATTTTGATATGGCCTAAATGAAATGCATCTAAGTGTGGCCCCATTGAGTTATGAGAGTTTTCTACAGTTTTTAAAAGTTACTTCTAAGAAAGAAATTGCAATTTGCGAAGATTTTTCTAAGAGATTACAGATTTATGTAGTTGCAAATATAAAGCTTATTTTTAGTATTTAAGTAAAAGTTTTCAAATTTGGAACTATTTTTAAAAATATTTAGTATAAATTCAATTATTTGTTAGTATTATTTTTTTCGTATTTATAGAAATAACTCTTGCAACAAAAGCTTTGTCTATACAGTTCCTATAAGGAAAGATGAGAAGTAGAAATAAGGAAATAAACTACTTAAAGTACAGCATGAAATAACTCTAATCAATTGATAACATTGAATAGAAAACTGCTACTCTTCACCTTCATTGAAATTCAAAAAAAAAAATTACAAAAAAATATTAATTATGCATTATAGCAAAATTGGGTAGACTACTAATAATACGGAAGTAGAATATCAATAAGCTTAAAACTAAAAATATGTATACATAAAAGGGTTTTCAAATTTTTATAGAAAGACAGACAAACCAGCTGAACGTATTATCTTTATACAGTGACCGGTAAAGTAGATAAAATTCTAAAAATATAGGATTATCCATTTTCATAGTCTTAATTTTAAAGCCCTACTTCTACTATTTACGGTTTGCCATTTTGAACGTTTAACAACTGTCGAACATGTTAAAGATATTGAAATTAGTTATAAAAATTGATAACTATGTAGAAAGTAGGGTAGGTTAAGTTGAAGTGACCTAAAGCTCACTTGAGCTCATATAATGACTCGTTTTGATTTCACATTTTTCATACGTAAATCAGAAGAATCCGCTACAGGACCGCAGTAGTCAGCATACGAACAATACTGAAAGACATGAGTGGTCGATTCAATTGAAAGTAAAATAACCCGAAAAGAATATAAACTTGGCTAACAGCTGCGTCTAGTCAGTAACAAAAGTGACCCGAAAAATTTTGAATCTTCTCTAAGCTAATGATGGGCACAGATACATGAAGTGAAGTACAGTTTCTTTCTCATCTACAGAATCACAACTCAGACAAATTTTTTTAAAGGATGGATCCCGTCTAATAAATATAATGTCTTTGTAGTAGAGATCTGTTAGCACGGATACCGTTGTAAGTTTTTTAAGAACTGATAGGAGTTTTCATCTACTCAAGTTTGTTTAGTCAAATATTTTTTGTTTAATGTCTGGTCCAATATTGGTGTCATCATTTCTTGATGCCAATAACCGAGAAATGAATATCTGAAAGTAGATGGTTTACCCTGGCTAGCTTATGTACCCGGCGATTACCCAAGATGTTCCTGTATCCATATACCCATAAAAGCTGAACTAGCTAACTAACCAGATGGATCAGAGAAGCCAAACATTCTCGACCTGTTAAGAATATAACGCTTACCAGAGATTTGGTAGCAACTTGGCTGTCCAGGTACATTATGATATTTACATTGAAAATATTGTTACATAGGACTCATTTTAATGCGTAGTAAATCGTCATTACTTCTACCTGAAAGACACTGCAATGCTTCACAAATTAAAGCGAGATGTTAAGACCCAATTTATAGTAAAATTCGCCAGTACCGACTCCTTAATTTATTTTGAAGCAAAGTTGTTACGTCAAAAAATAAATTATTTGAAATATTATTCTAACAAAATTGCAGACTTTTACATATAAGCAGAAGAATTTGTATAATATATTGATATGGTCATTAAGCCTC